AACTCCGGCAATTCGAGCAATTCCAGATAAGTACCTGAAATTAAAAGAATATTTTGTCGAGGCCTGTGAAACACAGTTTCCTTAAATTCGGTTTCTGTGACACCTCTAAAGCTTCGAGGCTATTGGAGCACGGTGAACTCCCAGGATACAACGACCGCGTATTTGGAAGAAGCTTTCCAAATACCAAGCGAACTCAGAGAGAGATATGAGCAAATATGTGAATGCTCTTTTTTCTCTAGAATGCTTGTTTCTTTTCTGTGTGTTTTATGAGCTAACCCAAGACCCCTATTTATAGTAGAGGGAAGAATCTCAAAATAAATCAATTTGAATTTCAAAATTCAAATTTGATTTTATCTTGATATTATCTCAATCTTATCTTAATCATATTTGATAGATTTTCTGCGGATTTGAATCCAATTTGAATTTGAATTTGAATTTCAAATTCAAACAAGAATATTCTCTTAATATTCTGCAGATTTAAAGTTTCTAAAACTTTATATGGACCGGGCTTCTCACGGACTAGGCCCGTTTTGATTCTTTCAAATAAACCCAAATCCAACAAGAAGGACTGTGGCTTGAGCTGGGTAAGCTCCTCAGAAATGGGGATGATACCAGTGTGTTAGATTCAAGAGGGATTAATAGGGGTAAAACTTATTCATAAACTAAAGAGAAATACAACGCCACAGAGAGGCATACCTCTCCTCCACACACATAAGCTTCTAGATTCTCAGATACCCCTCATAACCATGAAAAGGAAAATATATATAATAGAACACCCAGCAACAGCCTGCTGAGGTGGCGTACGTCACTCCTGCCTTCACACGTCCTGGTTGTCTAACGGAATTCTCCCATGATGAATATTCCTTGTCAGGCATGATCCCCTGTGACTGCGCCTAGGTTATCCCCTGCTCCTCCTTTTCCATTGGGTTGGGCTTCCAATTGGTCCTCTGGCAGCTTGTCTCCTATACGGGCCTTTTTCCTCTTCCTCGTATAAACCTTAAAAAGCCTATCAATACCCCCCTCCATAAGACGCAGCTTGTCCTCAAGCTTAAAGAGGGGAAATTGCTCTGCGAACCAATCCGCTTGTTCCCATGAAGCATCATGGCGAGGCAAGTTCTGCCAGGAGATGAGAACCTCCAGCGATCCATGTGGATTATAGCGAAAATCCAGCAACTTGGCAGGCTCCAATGTGACCTCCATATCCGCTGTAATATTAGGAGGTAAAGGGGTTGGAAGAAACGTGTTACCATGAGCCGGTTTGAATTGAGACACATGGAAGACATTGTGAATCTTGGCAGTCGGTGGTAGCTGGAGACGATAGGCGGCTGGTCCGATCCGTTCCAAGATCTCATATGGACCAAAAAATCGGGCTGCTAACTTCAGGAAATTGCGGCGAGTCACCGAATGCTGGCGGTAGGGACGTAACTTCAAGAAGACCCAATCCCCAGGGTTGAATGCTTGATCACGACGAGATGCATCTGCATATTGCTTCATTCGATTCTGTGCTCTAGCCAGATTTTCCCGTATCTCGACTATCATTGCATCCCGATCATTGAGTTCTCTCTCCAACTCGAAATTGGCAGTCGTACCCTGTTGGAAACTCAGCAAGGAAGGCGGTGGTCTGCCATATACAGCTTGAAAAGGGGTGAGTTTGAGAGATGTATGGTACGATGTATTATACCAATACTCCGCCCAAGTGAGGAATTTCATCCAAGTCCGAGGATGTTCCCCTGCATAACATCTCAGATAAGTTTCCAAGCATCGATTCAGTACCTCTGTTTGCCCGTCGGTTTGGGGGTGATAAGCCGTACTAAATTTGAGGTGAGTTCCCGCCAACCGAAACAATTCTTTCCAAAAGTGACTCTGAAAAATCCTGTCACGGTCTGAGACTATGGAACGAGGAAATCCATGTAGCCGCACAATTTCTCGCACAAACAAGTCAGCCACCTGTACAGCTGTAAAAGGATGCTTCAGGGGCAAAAAATGAGCATACTTAGTTAGTCTGTCCACCACCACTAATATCACATCCTGCCCTGAAGACCGGGGTAGACCTTCGATAAAATCCATCGAAACATCCTCCCATATGCACTCCGGAATTGGTAACGGTTGTAGTAAACCTGCTGGGGCTAAGGTTGAATATTTCTGCCTTTGACAAACTAAGCATTCAGCCACGTACTTCTCGATTACAGCCTTCATACCTTTCCAATAGAAGACTGATTGGATCCTCTTAAGTGTCTTCAACAGTCCTGAATGACCACCCATTGGGCCATCGTGGAATTCATGGAGAATAAGAGGAATAAAAGTCGAAGAATCAGGGATGACAAACTTATCTCGGAACATTAAATCTCCTTGTCTGATGTAAAAACCAGCAGGGGCAACGTCCTGAGAACTGAGCTTGGCGTGCACGTCCGAGAGGAAAGGATCCGCAGCTACCTCCTTGCGCAATTGTTCCAACTGCAGAACCGATGGAACAGTCAAGGCGAATAAAGTAGTGAGTGTTGACATACCCGTCGTTGGAGGAATGCGGGATAGTCCATCAGCGGCTTTGTTCTGAATATCCGGCTTGTATATAATGTCGAAATCGTAGCCCAGCAATTTAGATAACCATTTCTGATATTCTAAATTGACCTCCCTCTGATCCAATAAAAACTTGAGTGCTTTTTTATCTGTATGGACCACAAAATGACGTCCCAACAAGTAATAGCGCCAACGCTGAATTGCCAAAACCACAGCCATCAACTCGCGTTCGTAAATCGGCTTCAACTGGTCACGGGTAGACAGTGCATGGTTGTAGTAAGCAATAGGTCTGTTTCTTTGCATCAAAACGGCTCTGATCCCCATCCCCGATGCGTCCGCTTTCACCACAAATATATCAGAAAAATCAGGCAGACTTAACACCGGAGTTGTCATCATGGCACGCTTCAGAACGTCAAACGCTTCGGCAGCCTCTGCACTCCATACAAAACAGTCCTTCTTAAGCAGTTCAGTAAGAGGACGAGCCAACATACCGTAATGCTTCACGAAGCGTCGATAATACCCAGTGAGACCAAGGAATCCTCGCAGCTCCTTAATATAAGTCGGATAGGGCCAAGTACGCATGGATTCGGTCTTGGCTGGATCAGTCATTACTCCCTGGGCTGTGATGACATGTCCGAGGTAATCGATGCTATCTCGACCAAACTGGCACTTTTTCTGATTTGCGAAGAGCTTGTGTTCCGCCAACACCTCCAACACTGCCTCAAGTGCGAGATATGATCTTCCCATGTGCGACTGTAAACCAAAATGTCATCAAAGAAAACGAGTACGAAACGGCGCAGAAATGGACGGAAAACCTGATTCATCATGGACTGGAACGTAGTCGGGGCGCTTGTTAAACCGAACGACATGACGAGAAATTCGTAATGGCCGTCATGTGTGCAGAAGGCAGTCTTGTGGATGTCCTCTGGCCTCATTCGAATTTGGTGATAACCCGAACGCAGGTCCAGCTTTGAGAAAACGGCCGCCCCATGGAGTTCATCTAGCAATTGATCAATCATCGGAATTGGGAATTTGTTTGGCACTGTCACCTTGTTCAAAGCTCGGTAATCCACGCAAAATCTCCAGCTCCCATGTTTTTTCTTGACGAGCAAAACGGGGCTTGAGAACGGACTATTACTCGGCTGAATTATCCCGGCCTGTAGCATCTCTCGAACCAGTTTCTCGATTTCCTCCTTGTGAGCGTGAGGGTAACGATATGGCCTCACACTTACTGGTCCGGCATCCTGTCGCAGAGTAATGTCGTGTTCCTTGCCCCGAGATGGCGGAAGACCGACTGGTTCCTCAAAAACCTTGGCAAATTCCGACAAGATACCCTAGTGTTGTTGGTGACTGAGAATTCGGCGGTTCGTCGGCATAGATAGAACAGAAATCCACCATATACCTTCTTCCCCATCTCGCAGAGACTTCAAGAGAGTTTTGAAGGAGACCGCCGAAGAATGGAGAGTAGGGTCCCTTGCAGCGTCACTGATGTTTGTCCCATGTTGAATCGCATCTCCAATTTCTGGAAATCCAATTGGAAACGTCCCAAAGTTCTCAGCCACTGGACTCCGAGAATAACATCCGCACTTCCGAGCTCTAATGGTAGGAAATCGGTCAGAATTTCCAAATGAAGCAACCGAAGCACCACTCCGCGACAAATACCCATCGACCTGACTGTAGTTCCTGTTCCCAGCGAAACACCATAGCTTGAAGTTGTCGAAGGATGGAGACCCACATTGTCGAGGATGGCAACAGAGATGAAATTATGGGTCGCTCCCGTGTCGACAAGAACTACGACTGGGTGTCCTCTGATGAATCCGTGTAGCTTCAGTGTGGATGGAGAGTTGAGACCCACCGCTGAGTTGAGACACAACATCGCCATTTCTGAGTTGGCGGTGGCTGGGTCTTGCTCGGTTTCAGAATCATCCTCAATCGGCAACACATATTCACCGTCTTCCTTGACCACTATCACTTGCAGCTCTTGGTTCTTGCAACGATGGCCGAAAAAATACTTTTCGTCGCATCGAAAACAAACTCCTCTGCGTCTTTTGTCATCAAGCTCCGCATCCGTGTATTTCCGAAAAGGAGATAAAGGGTTTCTGCGTGTGTTGACAGCTGTAGGCATATTGGGCCCAGAAGATTGAGGCCCATGAGCAGGAATAATGGCCTGTTCCTTCAGATTTGATGGTCTGAATGCTGGGCCCCACTATTACTTGAAGCAGGCAATGACATCGTACGAAAAGGGTTGGTGGCCTGCGTCATCGCCGACCTCCATTGCCGTTGCTCTCCAAGTTTGGTTGCCACCTCACACAGAGGGTTGGAGTCCAGCCGTGGCGCCGTTTTAATCGTGTGCTGCAGTCCTTGTGGCCCCAAGGCCTCTAGCATATTCCGAACGTCCGGCCGTAAACCATTGATAAAAGCCCTTCCAAGTATCGACTCCGGCGTTTTCGGAAGCTGAGGTAGCAGCTCTTCAAACTCCCGAAGATAGTCCACCACAGAACCCGACTACGTAAGGCTTAACAACCGAGCACTAACCTTGCCAGCCAATTGGTCGGCGAACCTCTCGAGCAACTGTGATTTGAAATCTTTCCAGTCCACAAAAGGGTCCTCATCATTTTGCCAATCGTACCAGTTCAAAGCTTCGCCGTCGATGCTCAACGTTGCAATGGGTAGCTTATCCTGATCTCGAATGGCCCCATACTTAAAGTAACGCTCAGCTCGAACCACCCATCCTGCCACGTTTGTCCCTTCGAATATAGGCATTTCAAGCTTCTTTAAGGTAAGTTCGTTACCGGTGATGATCGAAGCATGTTGTGGGTCATCGACGATGGTCTCGTGCCGTTCGTCGATTGGAATCACCGGAGGTTCCGGCGACGAGGAATCAGGAATGACTCGTGGAGCCTTGCCCGTGTCTCTTGGTAACAACTGACTACTGGAGGAGTGTTCTCCAGAACCCAG